GCTAATTCCTGTGAAATTCTCGTGTTCCTTTGGAACCAAAGGAGGCCGGAAACTGCTCTTTGATTTCAGCAATGCAGTACGCATGGGCATCCGACAGAAAACAGGGAGATAGGCTACGACGATCAGGCGGATGGAATATTGGAATGGAAGGTCGTGTATCGCTGTAGTGCATTAGCAGCACGAGGCACAAAGCATAATGGGATATACGTCTTGGTAGTACGTCGCTGGTACTGGGGGTATGGCTTGACAGAAAGGAACACAGCAACGACCTTCACTGCCCATACCAGTGCCTGCCTCCAGAGCTGCAACTCGTTCTAATAATCACACTGCATGGGCTGGAGCTGGACATACGGACACCGGAAAATCGACGACGAAGCAAACCCTGCCGGGCGGGGGAAAAAAAGTCTGCCGTATATCTGCCTGGAGTTCCAGGTTTTCAGCAATGTTCGTAAATGAATGCGGAACCGGACGCCTGCATGCATGGTCCGCACGCGTCCTTTTCTCTGACTCCTGCAAACCACGCCACACGGCGCCTGATGCCTGAATCGAGTGGCATGCACCACACCGTCTTCCCAACCACTTGTGCGGCCTTCTTTGAAATCCTCCCAACCGTTCACCTGTCGGAATAACACAGGGGGGAGCTGGGAACAGCTTTGCATGGGGGGAGTGCTACGTGCCATCAGATCAGTTGCCTGTGAGGCTGTGGCAGAGGTCTTGAGCACAGCAATCTACGCTCCGTCGCTCCTAACACTTGGGGTTGGGGAAGGAAAATGGCGGCCATCTCCATTGACGGACTCCCGATTTCTTGACTTGCTGAGAGGCTGGGATGTGGCCGGTTGGTCAGCTACCTGAACCTGAGTGGATCCATGCACCGACGTTTGGGACAGAGGCTTTTTTCAAGTACTCCACAACTGCACTTTGCCTGATCTGATCTGATCTTGCTATTTGGAAAGGGGTCAGAGTACTTGTTTGTGTGAATATAGGCTCAGGACAGAACTCTGGTCATGCGGAAATTAGTTGCTGCTAATCTTGCCTGCAAACTACTGGAATGTAGGAATGTGGACTGATGGGCTGCGATGGGCCGTGCATTAGGCGTTTTTGGTATACTGTTGGAGCTTGTCACTTGTTAGTCCCTTGTTAGGCCTGGGATTAGGCTTCATTTCTATCTGTAACGGTAGCATGGATTGTGTGTTTTTTTTTTCTTTTCATTTCTTTAATTTCTGAAAGAGCAGGACATAGCAAAATATCTTTACGATATTTATAAAGTAGTTTTTTTTCGATTTTAATTAAACTTTTGATTTCTTTATCTTGACTTGAAAAAACGTTCGGATGACCTGCAAGTACAACCAAAACTGCCAGTATTTGTTAGCTTCAGTACTCAACTACTCATGCCTTACGCTTAGAACTTGGAGCTTCACTTGCCAGACACTCTTAACATCGGTAACAACTGCACATCCCTTCACTCCTAGTCTGGCACCGCACATCATCCTGGTTTATCTCGCACTCCTCAGTAAGTTTGCCCCCCTCTTTTTTTCCGGGGCAACATGCTTTGCTTACAAACTAGAGCAACAACATGGTAGCAAAGCAAACACCATATAAGAAAGGGGGAAAAACGCACGATACTATGATCTACTACCTACTTTTGTCCTACAAATGATGCAACTCTAGCTAGCATCGCACCAAGTCAAACTACTTCAGATGTTAATGATGCCAATAATTATACAAAAACAAAGTACCAAATATTTCAAGCCGTTTGGTATTCTTTGTTATAAGTTTGATTACATTTTGGAAGAATTTAATTAACAACATACATAGAGTTGTAATCTCCTTAGGACGGTGAGAATGGTAGTGTCCAGTCCAAACGATGAGACGAGCAGCGAGAATCGTGCAGGGAGGCCGGCCGGTAGCGGTAGAGTACTTTCCATTCACCGGAAAACAATATTTTGCCTATATGCTGAACGAGCACGGAGCACAGATGCTGGACGAGCAGGAACAGTCCGGTGATTGTGCGGCACTGTTCTCCACTTGGCCCTGCTGTCTGCTGCTGCCAATGATTGGCATGGCCGGCCTGAATCCTGATGAGAGTGAGACGGCCTCGTTGAGTTCTTCACCCTAAAGTGTCTCTATCACGTCGGATGTTTGAACACATGCATAAAGTATTAAATATATAGACTAAAAAGTAACTAAATGTACAGATTGCAACTAATTTGAGAGATGATTTTTGAAGCCTAATTAGTTCATGATTTGACAATGTAGTGCTAAAAGTAAACATGTAATAATGATGGATTAATTAGGCTTAATAAATTTGTCTCGTGGATTACCGATGACTTCTATAATTTATTTTATTATTACTATATAAATGCTTCCATATAAATATATGACACTCTCTAAACTTTAGCCCCTGAATTTAAACGTGACCGAACCCATGCATCAGTCAGTGTCAAGCAGCGAATGAAATATGAATTCAACGGGGTGGTGGGCTGTAGCATTCCGATGCATGCCAGGTCGGGATCTCCCTCGTCCCTCCCTCTCGTCGCCGATGCCTTTGGAAATTTGCGCCCTGTTTGTTTAGTGTTTTACTTTCACAATATTTTAACATAAACATCAACCGTAAGCTAAATTTCAGCATCGGCGAGCAGGATGCTGATCTCTGCTGGCTCTGCGCTGTCCGTCCCGCTGGCGAGCTTGCGGACTCAGCCGGAGCCGCATTGCATGTGTGGTAGCTCATCAATAATCCACAGTGTATGCTGCTTGTGCTTGCTCCTCGTTGGATTGTATAGCTGACAGCCATTTTTTTTCCCAGATGGCGTAGCATGCAGTGCAGCTGGCCAGGCATTTGGATCGGTCAGGGTATTATTATCTCAAACTTTTGCCGATAATTATTTGTGTTGTCAGCTGGACATGCGGTGCCAATGATGCGCTGCTGATACGTGCTGCAGGGAATAAACAAGTGATGAGATGCCAGGAGCCAGAGGAGGCGAACGCTGCTCTTGCTCGCATCGACTGGAAAGCTGCTACTGATCGATGAGACTAGAAAGTACTGTCTCCGTTTTCATTTACTTGTCACCGAATTTTTACTGTAGTAATTTTAATCAAACATTTTTTTCTATAAAAATTTTTTACATACATCAAATTTTCACATATATGATTCTTTATTGAACATACTTCATTAGTGTTATATATATTGAAGTATCTAAGATTTTTTTAGAAGAAAAAACAGATAGTCAAATTTGCTACAGTAAAAAGTTACTGACAAGTAAACACAAACGAAAGGAAGTATCAGAGTCGAACAACTGTGTTGGGCGCTTCCGAGATTATTTTATTTTAAGCGCCCGCGCACATGTTGGTGCGCTGTTTCCTCCTAGGGCTTTTACGCCAGTGTCATTAAAAAAGATGGCCTAATCGTCAATGTCCCTACAAAATTGGGTTTATCACTGTCGTTCCTGGGTTTGAAAACTTCTTTCGCCCAAGCCATTCCGTCCATTGTAGCTACTAACGGTGGGTAACGGAGGTGGAAAAAGACTTTGAATGCCACTAGGGAGTAAGAGGATGACTGAAAACTTGTATGTTTTTCTACGCCACTCCTAGGACCTAGCCTCTTGGCGCCGTTCAGGTGGGTTTTGGCGCCAATCTTGTTGGCTTTTACGCCAAAATGACCCTAGCTCCCCTAGGCAGTGCACTCCTCGTTTCTTCGCCACTCACTTCTCTCAACACTCACCAATCCAACGTTGCACGACCACGACGTACGCCACGGGTGCTCTCTGTCACATGTTCGTACGTGTACGTCCCGAAAATGATGCTCGCTCGCTGGTGCTACCATGCCCTCCTGCAGCCGACACTCCACCCAAACCACGTATACTCATCCACAGCAGGCAGTCGTGCAGAACTGGTGCTCTGACGCCGATCGGAAGTTCAGAGATCAGGCTCCTGAGCAAAGCCGGAACAAGGCGCTTGCTCAGACGGAGGCTTTGGCGTCACTGGCGCACTTCGCAAATGGGGCGTGCCGGGCCGAATTCGACATGGGATGGGCGTTGCTCCCGCGCGACAAAGCCGACAAGGCAACGGCAGGGCGAAAGCAGGCGAGCCGCGAGCGCCACGACGGAACGGAGCCGAGCAGCAGACGCCAGACGAGGCCCGCGGGGTGAGGTCACCGCGCCGATCACGAGCATTCACGCACGCGCCTGTCCACCGACGACAGACGGACGGAGGAGGACTCGTCACTCGTCAGTATTGCGCTGAGAAAACGAAGGCTCGTTGGGGACGTCCAGACGAATCTGTGTGTGAGTGCCCCCACGGAAACGAACCATCGTGGGATCGTCTTCTGCCTGCTGAGGTACGATTCGTCTTCTCGTCTGCCATGCTGCTTCATTTGTATGGTTCTCCTATCTACCACGTTACAGGCATGGCACTCCTAACAAGTCATCAGTCCCTCTCCCCCCCCCCACACACACACACCCTTTATAAAAAATAAAATTTTGAAAATATTTATAAAAATAAAATAAAACAAATCGTAAGCTTAAAAAAACTGTCTGCGAGGCCTCCGATGCATGCGTCATATTATATTGCACGCCCATGAGGACCGTCAAAAGGAGCTCGTAGTGCCGTGGGCCGATGACGTCATCGTGATCTATAAATGCCTAGGTGTGCGATGGGGGTGAGCCTACACAAGTGCACGAGCTAACCAACCCTCCCCTACCACTAGGGCCGATTCCACTCTGCACGACGGGGTTCGAGCCCGGGGTGCTGGCCAACTCCGGGAGCTCGCCGCTGCAAACGACGGGGTTCGAGCTGGGGCCCGGCGAGACGCGGTCGCTGATGGCGCCGTCGGGGTGGTCGGGCCGGTTCTGGGCGCGTGCGCCACGGGGGACTGCGGGTCGGGCGAGGTGGAGTGCCGCGGCAGGGGCGCGGCCCCGCCGGCGACGCTGGCGGAGTTCACGCTGGGCGGCGGCGGCAGCAAGGACTACTACGACGTGAGCCTGGTGGACGGCTACAACCTGCCCATGGTGGTGGAGGCGGCGGCGCCGGGCTGCCCCGTCACGGGCTGCCTGGTGGACCTCAACGAGCGGTGCCCCGCGGAGCTGTGCGCCGGCGGCGAGCAGGCGCAGGCCTGCCGCAGCGCGTGCGAGGCGTTCGGCACGCCCGAGTACTGCTGCAGCGGGCAGTTCGGCAACCCGGACACGTGCCGCCCCTCGGTGTACTCGCAGATGTTCAAGGCGGCGTGCCCGCGCTCCTACAGCTACGCCTACGACGACGCCACCTCCACCTTCACCTGCATCCGGCACCGACTACTCCATCACCTTCTGCCCGCCTCGCTCCGGCACGCCCAACAGGTACCCCCTTCTTTGCGTGTGCACCGACTCCAATCCTTTTGATTTTGGTTTCAGTTTCAGTTTCGCTGCACAACGAAACCTTTCCAGCCAAATGCCAGCAGCCAAGTTCCAGCTGGAAATTCAAATACTTGACGCAACAACAGTTTTGACTTTTGAGGGGAGTTTTGTTTTGCAATGGGGATATATATGGCGTGCGTGGCATAAGCTCAAAGTAGCTGACACAGTGACACTGACACTGACACTGACGGACATAATGGCCGGAGAATATGATACGAGCATCTCCCGGATTGCTTCGAAAAATACATTTTTTTGGCAAAAGAAAAAAAAAGCTTCAAAACTGTGATGGAGAAAGGAGGCGCTTTAAATTGTTCGCCTCGCGTCAATACCGGTCAACACGGAGACCTGTTTTTGTCTCTATACCCATGGACAACCGGGTCATTTCCCATACCCGACCCCACATGTCAGGCCTTCCAAATGGCGAAAAAAAGCGGAGAGGCGACGGAATGGCTTGGGCGAAAAAAGTTTCCAAACTCAGGGACGACAGTAATAGACCCAACTTTGTAAAGGTATTGACGATTAGACTATCTTTTTAATGGCATTGACGTAAAAGGCTCTTCCTCCCGCTCATTGGTCATGGACGGTGAATGAGACCCCATTCATTCTTTGTCGATGACAGCAATTATTTCTGAGATTTTCATTGCAAATTGATGCTTTCATACGTGAACTTAAGCCCACGACGTAAAGACTTATGACATCAGTAAAATTTTAATACTGGATCCGCTACTGGTCATGGAGCCGGGACGGGAGTTGAGAGGAGAGACTAGCGAGCACAGCCATCGTTCTTCATGGAGGTACTATTCGATGGCAGGTGGCAGGCGAGCAGAGCAGACGCCGCGGCCGGATCAGGCGAGCGATGAGCCCCCCGCGTGCGTGCAGTGTAGTACGCCGGCCGGTGCCGGTGCGGGTGCCGGTGCCCACGCTGATAACCGGCGTGAATGCTCTGCTCTGCTCGCTTGCGATCGATTCGAGCGGCACCACTTGTTGAGTGGGGGCGGGGCCGTTTGGAGGATGGCGGGCGGCGGATAGATACGGCGAGAATCGATCGGCTCGGAGGCGCTGGCGCGTCGCATCACACCCCACGTGCCGCCCGCGCTGCTCCACACTGTACACACCCGCCGCACCGATGGGCGATGGATGCCGTGCGGTACGGCCGCCACCGCCGTCCGGGACACGGGGACACGCACGCACGGCAAGCAGCTCGCTCTCGGCCCGATCCCAAAGCGGTTAGCGGCAGCACGATCGGAGTAGTAATAAACTATTTGGCGGGTACCACTCCCGTATTTGACTTCCGGTCATCCTACTCCTGGCGCACGGCACGGGGAGCCCGGCCGGTGGTAGTGCCATGCTGCCGTACAAAGACGACTTCAAGAATCAAGATAGCCGCCTCTAGAATACGGGCAAATTTGAACTCCGTTAAGGGCTCGTTCGGTTTAGCTGGTTTAGCTGGAACGAGGCCGGGAGCGATTCCAGCTAATGAAGCTTATACAAATTAGATAATGAATCGAGCCGGAAATCTTTGCATGGAGTCGTTACCTTGCAACCAAACATGGGCCCTCTTCACTTCTCTTATAATTCGTACTTTTCAGTTTCTTTTTTCAGTGAGAATAGTGTTTTTCTCTCATAACAAATCGGTCGAAACAGTGTTTTAGTCTAAACGGATTCGAAATCAGATACGTTTGCACTCTTACCCCACCTTCGCATCAAGTGACTGTGACTCAGAGCATTGTGTCAGAAAAAAATAAGTGGCTTAGAGCCGGACAATGTAATCACACAATAGTAATAGTCTCCTGAAAAAACTTGCAGACTATGTAAACACTGAAATTTCAAGACCATTATTAGACGCTCGTGAAAGCCACTCTTTTTCTTTTCCTACCATGACCTCACTCCTCTTATTTCTCCTCCACGAACCAATGCTCGTTTCTCATCCCTCTTTTTAAGTTTTCTCGATAGTAGCTTATTCGGCAGGCCGTAAATGATCGTGGATTATTTACTGTTGGCTGGTTTGGTGTGAGAGAAAAGTACCGTTCCAACTTATAATCCACGATCGTATACGCGCAAGCGAATAGGCTGAGTAGTATGCTAGCTCTAGCTGCAATTCATCTTGGGGCATTGCATACTTTGGAGAACGAAAAAGTTTATCATAACACACCCCTATTAGCTGGCTAGCTAGAACATTTTCTTCTTCTTCGTAGTTGCAATTCTTTATGCTACATCTTATAGCAATTTCCTCCACTCAATGGAACATTTCCCACTTTACTTACCCCTTTCTATGGCGGCACAACAAAATCTCCCGCATATATATATATATATATATATATATATATATATATATATATATATATATATATATATATATATATATATAAATTCCCATTACCCTTCTCTTGACAGAAAATAGATGTTCCAGCAGTAGATAAAATGTCTGGAGGGGGTGCTGGCAATGTTATACATTCCAGTTGCATATGCTGACATACAGGTGCTCATTTGTCTCCGACTTTGTTGCCACCCTAACAAAGGCTTTGACAGCTAAAATGAACAAGAGACACCAACCATGAGTACTGGTTCTGATGCTACCCTAACCAACTCAGACAACTCAACACCACCCTAACCTAATCAGACAACTCGACACCATCAGAGTTGTTGTCATGGACTGTCACTACTCACTACCGCTAACACAGTAAGAGGTCGGCCACGTAGGACTTCACCATCAGGGAAAAGGCAAAAACATAAAGCAGACTAGCAGAGGCATGGCCCCTGCGCGCCATGTACATTAAAGTACATGTATATTACACACATATAGTATTTGAATACAAAAATTGTATAAAAAATTCCATATTTCCTCTCCTTTAGTCCAAAGTCTATTGATTGACCACTCTAATATTTTTGTAATTTTGTTTAGGCTCCATCACACCACGTCATGTGACACTATTAGAGATGTAAGTGGGCTAGCCCATGAATACGTGAATTTGCGGGCACTTACATCCTTAGACACCACCCAACGTGTTACCCATAATCCATGCATGTCCCTATCCTAACCTTTAGTCCACGACCCCAATATCTAATTGTTTTTACTGTGGCAGGGACAGAGAGATTTCCTTCAGTGGAGGGTATGCAGCGTCAGAGTCACGGAGCACCAAAAGCTCAACTTGAAACATCAGCAAGACAGCAACCATGTCATATCGTGCTTTGAACATGTTGAGCGTACTGTCAAGCTCATAATTAAGCTGCCATATTTTAATCTCCTCACTATATGATTCTTGTGAAATCTAGGTTCAAAATTTAGGTGGCATGTATTTGCAAGACGTAGATCATTATATATTTAACAAATTTGTTACAGAAAAAAACATAATCAGCATGTTCGCTTGTTGGTTTCAGCCAGCCCAAACCAGTCAGCCAACAGTATTTTTCTCTCATAATAAACCAACACCAGCCAGCCCAAAACCAAATTTGTGTAAACCAACCAAATGAATATGTTTAATATAGAGTAAAAGGGGAAAACAATGCTTTCAAAGCCACCTTTACTCTTAATTTACCTTTGTCCATATCAATTCTATTAGTTGGAGGGTTGTTAACTATAAATTTATCTCCTATAAATTTTACTTAGGGTCTATTTGAATCTATTAGCAATAAATTATTAGTTGGAGGATTGTTAACTATCCGTTTCATTAGTAGGTTTAGAGACGCTAATAGTTCATATACATCTTCAACTCACTGTCCAACCACCTATTAGCAGGTGAATTCAAACAATCTCCTGCTAAAAATTAACAACTATTAGCTATTAGCTAATTTTTAGTGCTAATAGATCTAAACAAAGCCTTAGATGGCTTAAGGTGTTTTTTTAATCTTTTACAGACTCGAGGTGTTTTCATGTTTTGTTTTTTAACCTTGTAGAGTCAGTGTTGGATTGTCACATTGCTCAGCGTATGAGCTTGGCAACAAATTAGAGGAAGGTCGATGTGCTTAAAAGCAAAGGCACCGCGTGACATTTTTTTTCAGTACCAGTATTTCATTTTATTATTAATTTTTTTCTTCCACAAGACCTTGGCCATCCCATCCCCATCCGGCCATCCCCCACTGTTTTATAGGCAGCTCCTCCGAAAGCTCCTCCATTCGCGCAAAGACGCCAAGCCCACCCAAGGAAATCTCTCCCCAAACTACCCCTCGCCGGCGCCCGGCGATGTGCCCGACGAAGCCCGATCGCCCTGGCCAGGCCGCCGGCTCCGGCGAGAAGAGCTGGCGGGAGGAGGCCGTGGCCGCGGGCTCGCTGCGGCTGGTCGACCTGGACCGCGGCGCCAACGGCTGGGCCTCGCCGCCGGGGGACCTCTTCCACCTGCGCGCGCGCGGCTACTTCAACTGCGGCGGCGGGAAGCGCGGCAAGGCGCCGTCCGCCGCGGACTGGCTGCTCCGCCCCGCCGGCGTCGACTGGCTCCGCTCCCACGCCCGCCTCGACCACGTGCTCGCCCGCGACGACAACCGCGTCGCCGCCGCCTTCCGCCGCGCGCGCCTCAGGAAGGACCCCACCGCGCACTTCCTCCTCGCCATCAATCTCCAGGTGCACCCCTCATCGCCCGTCCCCCGATCGCATCGCATCGCATCTAGATTCTACCACCAGGGACAGGGAGGCGCGTGATGCCCGTGAGGAGCGAGGCAAGAGAAAAGAAAAAAAAGATTCGATTTTTCTTTGTTTGGTGACGCGTCCCGGTGCTTCTGATTCCGCAGGTGCCGGGGCGGCCGGACGCGTACAGCGCCGTGTTCTACTTCGCGGCGGAGGCACCCATCCCGCCTGACTCGCTGCTCGGCCGCTTCATCCACGGCGACGACGCGTACCGCAACGCGCGCTTCAAGATCGCCAACCGCATCGTCAAGGGCCCCTGGCTCGTCCGCGCCACCGTCGGCAACTACGCGGCCTGCCTGCTCGGCCGCGCGCTAACGTGCCGCTACCACAAGGGCAACGACTACCTCGAGATCGACGTCGACATCGGCAGCTCCGCGATCGCCAGCGCCATCCTGCATCTCGCGCTCGGCGCCGTCACGTCGGTTACCATCGACATGGGGTTCCTCGTCGAGTCCCAGTCCGAGGAGGAGCTGCCTGAAAGGCTGTTTGGCGCCGTGCGCATCGCGCAGATGGAGATGGGCGCGGCCAAGTACGTGGAGCTGCACCCTGATGAGGCCATGCCTGAGACGGCTGGCAGGGCCGGGGCAGGGTTCAGGGTAAGCTCGGCGAAGGTGGTCAATCATAGCCGCCAACAAGACCATGCCGGCGGCAAGGTCGGCAGGTCGATGAGTTGCCCAGAGCGAGAGAGCGGAGGTGAGCGCTGAATTTCCCCATGACATTATCTCCAGATTATTATTGTTAAACGCAGTAATGCAGTTAGCTTTATCACAACTATCCGGTGACCGCAGATGCGATGTTGAATTATAGAATATAAAAGATGCAATAATTCTGTTCAAGCATATGCCAGCTCGTGATGACAAGTTCTTGTTTATGTTATTATGTAGCACATGGTCACATGCTCATCTTTTAGTTAGGTATGTCACTAACTGATGTCTCATGGAGGACTGGATTGTTAAGTGGAGCAGTTGAGTCTTACTACAAGTCATGAGAAATAAATGGCAATGGTTCATGGCCGTTTTCAGTCTTCCACAGTTCCACGCATCATTGGTAGCTTGAGATTTGAGAGTTGTTTAGTGAACAGGCTTGGTATGCGAGCAATTTTTTTATTTGATTATTTCGTATGGTACTGGGATGACAAGGGCCATTGCTGCTGTCATTGCTTATGTGAGTGTGCTCTAGGGATCTGATGCTTTGAGCTAATTAGTACGGCCATTGTCAAAAAGGAAGGCTAGTGCTTGTCTTGATGTGACTTTTTTAGTGTGGTCTAAGATTGGGAAATCCGATGACAATGCCAATATCTGTCAAGATAATCTCATGTTTCATAGGGAACTGTATCCACTTTGTTCCATTAGCTTCAGGATATGTAAAGTTCTGCAAATTTGGGTTCTCTTCACCTGTATGCAACCACAGTACCCCTTTACAAGTTCCTCACTAGGTTAGCCTGTGGCACCTGCACATAACATACACTCTAGGTGAAAATGTGGAATGTAGGTAGAAATGGTAAACCGTGAAGTTTAGGCAATATTTGCCACATTGGCCACTGCTGCCAGGGTAGATGGGAGTAATTGGAAAGATGTGCATTTGCCGTTTTGCTGTCCCTCCATTATGCTTCCAATAATGTCTGTTAAATTTTCCCTGTTTATTCTGTACACTGGTCACGGATCAATGTGGTATTGTGGTCCATGTTGGCCATGATCTGTGGCTTGGAAAAGCATGTTGCTTCACTTGTTGAGGACCGGTGGGTTGGCCCAGTGTTTAAAACTTTTCTTGAGCAAGATTTTCTTTTATTGTTCCTTTGCTTGCATGTGTAATTGTTTAGTTGCTTGAGGGAGACAACATGGACATGTGGCCCAGTACATGACTGATAACAACACACATTTAGGACCTGCATGTACTTTAGGTGGGTTGCTAATCAACCTTTGGCCCTGTCTGATATTTTCATGCAGTTTACAAATGGGTTAGGTTTTCTTTCTTGGTTGATCTATCCTAACTGTTTTTTGGTGAACGGAAGGTTGATTGTTTGGACAAGAGAGCATGATTTCTGGTAGTGCCTTGGTGGGCGAGGACATCTGAAAACACTGTCATATGCAAAGCAATTCAGTAGTAATTTTTGGGCATGTCATTTGGAAGCATAAGAAATTTCAGCAGTTTGAAACATACAACTGAACATTTAAAATCTGGATGAATTACACAATTGTGCTCGTAAATCAGAAAGGATGTGGGATTCTCAATTATGGAGTGCCCTTATTTTGTTGATGTCAATGAAAAGAAAACTGAACCACCTCCTGCGAGGTGATGACTTGTGACTGCATCTTATCACTAGAGTTTTGACTCTTCACTGTGTTTTCACGTTTGGGCTAAGACTTGAGCCTTCATTTTTATTACCCTTGTCTAAAGAAACATAGTACAGGCTTACATCAGTATGTCATATCATCAAGAAAAAAACCAATGGTAAACCAAATTTGATCCTTTTTTTTCAGGAAAATAGGCGCAAAGTACGCGGGTGCACTGCAGAAAGAAACCATCCATCGGTGGGAGAGCGATGGCGAGAACCGGAAGACGAAGGCCGGGCAACCCCAACACATAAAACGCCGAAGCTGGAGCCATGACCACGACCTCGACCACGAATGGCCCCCTTCATCATTCATAAAGTCCTGACTTCATTTGGTTGTGATGATGAGAACTTAAAACCTGATGGATGCGAAATCAATTAATAGCAGCATATTAATCTATCTATGGCTGAGTGCCTGAGTTCCATGACATAATTATGATGATTCCCGGCTTGTCTTCAGCTGCAACCAGCCAGCCACGTATATGCCCGTTCGTTTCGGCTGAATTGGCTTATAAGCTATGGCTAAAAGTACTGCTGACTGATTTGGTGTGAGAGAAAAATACTGTTCAAGCTGTGGGTTATAAGCCAGATACGAGCGAATAAGCCGAAACGAACAGGCTGATGGTATCTATCGGCCTCTCTCTCAGCCTGTTCGTTTAGCTGTGGCTTGTCGGAACAGTATTTTTCTCTCACACAAACTCGTTAGTAGTACTTCTTCACGAACCAGCAACGAAACGAACCAGCCAAACTGTGATCCACTGCTGGATCCAATATGTTATCTCGTTTCTCTAGCTTGTGATTCTGGAAGCTGCACGGCACAGACATGGCAACGTATTTCTACTCTGAATATCAGAGATGTACGGGAAATCTAGGACAGTAACAGTACTGACGATAGTGGAAAAATCTAGGCCTTAGTTGCTCAAACTCTCAACTTTTGGCACTAGGAAAAAAAGAAGGTTCTCCGTTACATTAAACTTGTGGTATATATATGGAGTATTAAATATAGACGAAATCAAAAACTAATTGCACAGTTAGGTTGTACTTTGCGAGACGAACGTTTTGAACCTAATTAGTCAACGATTGAACAATTATTACCAAATACAAACGAAATGCTACGGTACGCTATAGTGACGTACAGTGAATCCGACGGTGCCGAATTCGGCCAACTGGCCTAAGACAATAGTACAATAATACAGTTGTAAACAATGCAGAAAAGGGTGTTGGATCTTGGTTGCCGACCGTATGAAGGCGACCTTGGTTACAGCAAGTCAGAAACAATGCCCGGTCGGAAAGTCTGCTCAGGAAGCCTGTTGCGGCAAAAGGAAGGCATATTCTGACCGACTTGTTGAGCTCGGTCGCCGCAGGGTGCGATGTGACGCCTCCGTGCGCCTTTTGCAGGCACACCGGCTCCGAGCAGGATCTGCAAAAGCAGATCGCAGTGGGGGCTGGGGGAAGAAAGCACGAAGCAGAGGGAGGACCAGTGCAGTGCTGCGCAGTGTCGTGTCATCGTGTGGGCGCCTGCATGCTCGTGTCAATTCATTCGCCTGTCCACTAGCCGTCTCCAACGCCCCAAATACGAGACCCATTCGTCTTTGATAGTGCTACAGATAAAAAGTTTAATAATTATTTGGGTCTTGTTTAGATTGCAAGTTTTTTCACTCTCTCTCCATTACATCAAATCTTTGGACACATGCATGGAGTATTAAATGTAGATAAAAAAATAACTAATTACACAGTTTGATTGTAAATTACGAGACGAATCTTTTGAGCCTAGTTAGGCAATGATCGGACAATAATTGTCAAATATAAACGAAAGTGCTACAGTGCCAAATACTGATTCCTAACCTCAATCTAAACAAGGCCTCGGCATCTTCTCTAATAATAAGACTTAAAAGAGAATTCTTTCTGCTAATGAGTTTCCAGGAGAGAGGATGTCCATATTTGAGTTGTGCCTCTCAGACAATCTAAAATAGGTCTCCTATATAGGTACTCTGTTAGAGACTAATTTTAGATCTCTTGCTATTTATTTTGGATTTAAATGTCTATATAACTTTGTTGTCGGAGACAGTCTTACGACTTTACGACGATGGGTTCAGACTTAAGAGAGCCTCCAGCGAGATGAAAATGGGATCCATCGTTTTCCTCCGTCACTGCACTGGCCACTGGGAGAAGATCGCATCTGGGGGTAGGGCCCTCGATTGATGTCGTTGGATCCGTCCGTCGGCATGTTTTGATTCCTGGTCCTAACTGTTGCATGTTATTTTTAAAATTAGTAAGGACTTAGTTCGGATCCTTCGAAACAAGTTCAAATGATTCTCGATTGAAAATAATTCACTAATTTATATAATGTTGATAAGCCGAAATGGTTCTAGGTCCGAATCCAGGCTAACCGGATGGAATCTAAAGATGGATCCCAACAAGGTGTGCTGCCTTTTCCATATATGGATCTATTAGCATCTATGAACAAGTGAGATGGTGTATGTGCTAAACAGGAGTAGTTAGCAGCATGCTAAAATTAGTAGGATCCCAACAGTCCTCCTTAGTATATGATGAAGTAGGTTGTGTTAACAATAAAAGCAGTCTTCGTAATCACACTACTTTCCACTATCAATGGTAAAGTACGTGTGGATACGAGTGTAGCCAGAAATCATGTGAGGAAATGAGAGAGATTAAGGTAGAGAACGAAGGCAGGCTGCAGGGAAGGAAAGATACTAGGAGAGTGCATCAATCGGACCTCAAAATCTTAGCGCCTCTAACTGAAGCAAATCAAACATTCAGGTCCGGGGGGAGTGTCTCGCCTTCTCAGCATCACGTGGTCAAACCGGTTCTTTTTTTTTTGTTTAATTGGATTCATGCCATTATAATTTTCGACGTTAGAAGAAACGTCATTATTATTCGTCTATTTTCAAGCATGCCATTATAATTTTTTGTTTCCTACAAAAATGCCACTGAATACGTATGGACGTAGCCTGAGCTCAGCTGCAGGCGTATACGAAGACGTATACTTCATCTCCCCTGTCACTGACACGCGGGCCCCACCTATCATCTTCTTCTTCCTCTCCTCATCTCTCTCTCCTGATGGGCGCATCGAAGGGGTGTGGGCGAGAGCCGCCATTGGCAGTGTGCTCGACGGGAGGAGTGGAGGGATGGGGGCAACTGGAGGAGGAGGCTGCTGCTCGCCCGCGTGGCCGCGTGGTCTCGGCGGCTGCTGCGCGCGTGGCCATGGCAGGCCGGAGCTTCTCCGCCTCGAGCCCCGGCGTGGCCATGGCGGGCGGAGCTGCTGCGCGGCCATGGTGGGTGGAGCTCGCGCGCAGCTATGGCTGGCCGAAGCTCCCACGCCTCGAGCTCCGCTGGCGCCACCAGGAATGGGCA